ATTTAGGAAAATGAATCTTGGTCTCTTTTACTGTATTCTCAAATGAAATGTAAATTTTTTTTGTATCTACCTGTATTTTCCTTTCATTTATGCATGCATTCTTTCATTAAACATTCATTGAATTATGTTGAGCACCAACTATATGCCATTATATTCCAGGTTCTATTCTTGTAGTAAAAACTTCAAGAACTTATTGTTATACATAAATACACACACACCCACACATAAAGGCAAGAAACAAGACTGGAAGAAAAAATAGTAAAAGAAAGAATGGTAATGCTGAGAATCTAATATCAGTATGTAGGGACAGAGTATATGGGGTAAGCGTGACAGACTGAATAGGGGGGAGAAGAAAAAAGAGACAGAAGAATGAGAGACTAGAGTAGGATGTCAGGAAAGTAATCACCAGATGCTAGTGCTTAATATAAACCGTACCAAAGCAGATATGCAAATATGTTCTACATGAATTTTTTAAACTCATATTTCAAAAGTTATCTGTTAGCTATCCTATGGAGAAAGATTAGATCAAGACTAGCGACATCTGGTGGATATTTTAGAAGTGGTTCTTGAGGTTCTCTACTATGAAAACACCATAAATGCCTCCATGTCTCTGGACTATCAATAATAATGTGCTGTTGTGTTGTTGTTAGTTGCTCTTGAGTCGATTCAGACTCATGGCAACCCCAGGTGTGCAGAGTAGAACTGCTCCATAGGGTTTTCAAGGCTGTGACCTTTTGGGAAGCACATCACCTGGTCTGTCTTCCCAGATGCCTCTAAGGTGGGTTCCAACAACCAATCTTTTGTCAGTAGTAAAGGGCTTAACCATTTGAGCGAGGGCTCCACAATACTAATTATAATAACATGAAATCATCTTTCTGCAGGGCCCAGGTTCTCAATGAAACAGACAGCCAAATTTCTAACAAGGATCTTTCTATCTCCCAGCTGATGTCCAGCTGCCTTCTGAAGGATGTATACAATACCTGACACCACATAATTCTTCTTTTTAAAGGTAACTTACTATTTTAAATGTTCATAAAGGAACATGACTTAGGGGTTCTACTTCAGGGAAAACGCCCTAAGAAAAAAAAGTCTTAAATGAGGAAGTAAATTAGTTGTTTACAGTGTGGGGGAGGAGGACAATCTAAAAGTCCAACACAGAAAAATGACCAAGAAAATTACAAACATTATAATGTTTACAAAACCTATACCAATTTTGAAATATCAAATTTTAAGTGAAAAAAGCAAAAGTAAAAAAGCATGTGCATAATATGATCTCAAGTATGCAAAAATTATGCATAGAAGAAAATATTAACAGTGGCTGCTTACAGATGTGAGGATTATAGTTTTGTTTTTTTTTCTAAATTTTATTTTTTGTTACTGTTGTTGAGAACACACATAGCAAAACATACGCCAGTTCAAATTTCTACATGTACAATTTAGTGACACTGATTACATTCTTGTCTTTTTATATAAGTTAGATCATACAATATTTGTCCTTTTATGATTGGCTTATTTTGCTCAGCATAATGTCTTTAAGCTCCATCCATACTGTAGGATGTATCAAGACTTCATTTCTCCTACTGGCTGAGTAGTATTCCATTGTATGTATGCACCACATTTCATTTATACATTCATCCGTTGATGAGCATTTAGGTTGTTTCCATATTTTGGTTATTTTCAATAGTGCTGCAATGAACACTGGCATGCAAGTCTCTTTCTGAGTCTTTGCTTTCAAGTCCTTTGGGTATATACTTAGGAGTGGAACTGCTGGGTCATAGGATAGTTGAATTTTTAGTTTTTTGGGGGAAATGTGTAAAAATGGTGTGGCGGGGGCATTTGACCTCCTCTAAGTTCACAAAGGGAAAGGAGAATCAAGATCAACAGCCCAAGGCTGATTCTTATGAGGCGGTGGTCAGACATGCCTCTACCCTCCAACCTTTTTACAATTCTGACACCGTCTGTCCCACACACAGCATTGTCTACTTCTCTGCTAGGTTCAGTAATACATTGCAATGGCCACACAGAACTCACAGACAATGCTCACGATTATGAGGTTTATCAGGGAAGTTAAAGGTTACAATTCAGGATCAGGAAATACTCAGGATACAGTTCTTCCATCAGAACAGCCTCTTCTCAGCCATGCTCACAGGCATCTCCCTCTGGCTGTCAGCCCCAGCCTAGCTTCTGCCCTGTTCAGGCAAGTGCTACAAAGCTCTTTAGCTCTGCCAATAAGTGCCTGGGGGCACCCCCACTCCACTAGGAAGCCTCCTGCCTGAAGGTGCTCAACTTTCTTGTTGCATGGGCTGGGAAGTCCACCGCTCCATCTACTGCCAGTCTCCTCATTCTGCTGCCTCTGCTGCCACCATTTCTCTGCTGCGGCTTCTTGCCGTTTCCATTGTTACATCTCTCTCTCTCTCTCTGTCCTGGTTCTGCTGCTTCTCTCTATCTTCCATGTTACAGCTCCTCTCTCTCTCCATGTCTCCTTTTAATACTAGTGGGATGGTAAAACTGACCAATCCCTTTGTTAGGGTTCCATACACTTATTTTCAATGGTCCTACCTCCACAAGGGTGCCATACACTTTATTTACATTATTAGCAAGCTATCCAATCCCCTTGGTGGGCCATAAGCACCTCATTTGCATAGTCACATTTAATCATTTGGTGGACTGACGAAGACTATGGCTAAAAGGGCCATATTAAGTAATTCTCTGCACTGCAAACCACCACACTGTTTTCCACAATGGTTGTACCATTTGGCTTTCCCACCAGCAATGGATAAGCATTCCAATTTTCCCATATCCTTACCAACATTTGTTATTTTCTGTTTTTTTTATCTTCGCCATGCTAGTGGGAATGAAATGGTATTTCACTATGGTTTTGATTTGCATCTCTATGATGGTTAATGATGCTGAGCATCTTTTCTTGTGTTTGGTGGCCATTTGAATGTGCATTGGTGAAATGCCTGTTCAAATCCTTTGCTCACTTTGTGACCGGGTTGTCTTTTTGTGGTTACGTTTGTTTTGTCTTTTAATCATCATTTGCAATATTTCCCAAATGCTCTATAATTAAGGTGCATTATTGCTATAACAAATATTTTTTATCTAAATCTTTTAAATACTGTATACGCTCTGATTGATGGCTAGAATTTTTCAATTCCTGTCTGATTTGATCAATTCCAGAAAAAGACAGCCCAAGTAAGCTAGAATTTCCACAAGAAAACAAGACAAATATTTTACAACTTCGTTTCAGGATCTGAGTCCCCATGGAGAAATCCCCCAGTCGTAGAACAGTACTGAAATGCCCATAATGTTATCACACTTCTCTCAACAGTACGTCAGAAACTTACAGAGGGCTCTGCTGGCAGCGGGGAGTTATAGAGTCTCATAACCACTTGAGTCCCCATCTTCCGGGTCCCTAGAAGAACTGGATCAGGGCCACCTTAAAGTAGGAAGAGGAAGAAATGTGTAAAAATACAGCATGGGAAAGAAATCCCAAGAGCTAAACCACCCTAGTGGGGTCAGGCCTTCCGCCACAAACCTACAACTTGAGTCATCTCCAAGTATCAGAAACAGGGCCCTGGTTAGCAGAAAATCCAGCCCAAGATATTATAATCACAACAGGGTTATCCCACTGGCATTTTAAAATCTACTCACTTAGGCTTTAGCAGTAAAACAAACAAAAGAGGATTGCTTCTCTATCATTAGTTAAGCATGGATGTGTTTTCCCTCGTCCCTACATTTATTAGTCAAGAATCATAGCAAGTATTTAAAGACAATCAGGAGAAATACTGGAAGCTCTGCTTCTGGCACTCACTTCCCTCCATCCTTAGGACTTCATTTTTAGGGTAGCAATTCTATTCTAAGGCATAAATTTTAATATAGTATTTTACTGTTTATAAAAATGCTATCACCTACATCATCTTATTTGACCCTCACAGTAAATAACCCTTGGAGATAGATAGGGTTAATCGTACTAGCCCCAGTTATAGAAAACAGGCTTGGAAGCTGCTCCACCAATGAGCAGTGGAGGCAGTCCTCCAACCCACCTCTTCTGAATCCACCTGTGCTACGTCTGTACCAGAGAACAGACCGGCAAAATAGTAATGATGATGGTGATGACATTATTATCAACATATAACGGCACATTATGTACTGTTACCAGTGTTTTAGATTCTCACAATCAGTCTATGAGGTTGATAGCGTTATTACCACCTTTTTTGTGCTGCAATTCTATTTTCAGTACTCTACTCATCTTAAGGAAATCATTCCTCTTATGGGACCAATGGAGGGGCAGCGGTTTTCGGGGAGGATGGTGTATAGGTTGAGAAAGGGAAGTGAGTTACCACTCCTCTCCAAGCTCTAAAAGTCTGAATCAGGAACTGCACACTAAGAACCTATCAGGCTCAGCGCGGGTTCGGACCTTTAAACTTCAGTAATTGAAGCCTCCTTCCTCCCACCCCTCCCTCGCCCCCTCCTCATGTCCTCAGTTCTGATCTGGACGGAGTGTGGCTAGTTTTACTTCCCAGTTACCCGCCACCTTTCAGCACCTACCTCTTAAGTCTTCGGTTGGTCTGGTTCAGCATCTCTGTCCCCGGCCCTACTAGGCACTGCCTCCTCTCGCTCACGCGTCGCCGCTGCGTTCCCGCTGCCATGGTAACGCGACGACTGGCCGGGGTCTGGCCCGCCTCCAGGCGGCCGGAGCCAGCCGCTAGCGGCCAGAGTTCCGCCTCCTGCCGGCCCAGGCCCCGCCCCACCTCCTGATGGTTCTAACCCCGCCCCCTGTCGGCCGAGCCAGCCCCGGCCGGGCAGAACCCTGCCTTCCTGCCAGCTCGGACCCACGCTCCTGCCTACAAGACCTCAGCCCGGCTCCGCCTCTAGCTGCGGCCGGTAGAGTGGGGCGTGCCGGCCTTTTTACTGGCTGGGCTCCGGAACGACTTTTTGCTGAGCGGGACCATTGTTGCACGTACGTAGATCTCTCACCCCAGAAAACACACCAGGTATATAGTCATTAAGCAATTTATTGATGCTAGCAGCTCCGCACCCGAGAAAGCCAACAGTCCAGCTAAGGGGAGTTTCTGGGTTCCACTGTACTCTCGGTACCAGTGACATTAAGTCCTTATAGCCGATAGTCAGAAAACTTTGTGTCTCCAGGCCTCCGCCCGTGTCTCCATTTGCTTGGTTCGGTCTGGGAGTCTTCACCCCGCCACGGAAGAAAGAGCCTAAAGCAGCCCTGGGGGCTGTATACAAATGCTCAGAATGCTTTTCCCAGGCCTTCTTCAGCTTTTGAGTAAGGAAGATACTTTTAAAGTCCAACAAGATCAGACCAAGTGCTTCTGGGGTAACATGTTCTTTCCGCACTTTTCTTGAGAGCAGGAGCGAAGGTAGAGGTCAAAGCCGTACCTTCCTGCTCACTCAACCTAGCCCTCTCAGTCTGTGGAATGCCATCCGCCCCTAGCTAATCCAAATAGAACTCCAAGCTAAGGGCAGCAAATAAGACCTAGGGGGAGAGGGCAAGATTGGAGACCCTCACAATCCCAGGGATTCTGGAGTTTTTAAAAATGTGGTCAGTGCCCCAGGCTGCCACCCAACTCCCCAAAGCAGCCGATTCTCCCCGCAAGGGTGGTGGCCAAATGATGGAAACCAGCTCCTGCCCCAAGGCTCACACCAGGGTCCCATTCTTTCTGTCATAGCGAGGTGTGGCCTGAGGGAAGCAAAGGGTTGCATACTCTGTAGCATTTGCTACCTGCTGGTCCTTCACCTCCCGGGCAGAGCGTGACCGGGTCCGGCTGCACACCTGGATGTCTGCATAATGTACGCTGCTGTCCTCTGATGTGACGCCTGGTCTCCTCTTTGGAGACTCAGGCTTCTCTAACACCCGCTCATACGTATGTCCCCGTGTTTCAGGGCCCTGTGAGAAATGGAAAACATTAAGGGAGAATCTTGGTTTTGCCCCTCACTTCCAATGCAGGGCCAGTTAGATTGATGTCCCTCTACTTTGCCCTTTTGCGGGGAGGAGGGAGGTGGGCAGAACCAGCAAGTTCTACAGATACCTGTCCTGAGATAAAAAAGCTCAGTACAGGGATCCCATGTCTGAGCAGCCCAGGGGAAAGGACAGAGGCCTGTCATTACCTTTCTGCCATTCTGTCGCTGCTGCTGCTGCTTAGATGATGGTCTTGCTTGGCTCCCTGAGAGAAAGAAAACCAAAAACCAAACCAGTTACCATCCACCATGTGTGTCAGAGCAGAACTGTGCTCCATAGCATTTTCAATGGCTGATTTTTCAAAAGTAGATCACCAGGCCTTTCTTTCGAGGCACCTCTGAAGCACCAACCTTTTCGTTAGTAGCTAAGGGCTTAACAGTTTGCACCACTCAGGGACTCCTCTGAGGGGAAGAACCCCAACTGAAAACCATTCTCTCTTCCCCATCTCTGCTGAGATTGCCCCCTTCAAATATTTCTATGAAACTATTATAGTAGTCTTCTGACCCATTTCTCTGCTTCCATTCTCTCCTCTTTCCACTTCTGCCATCCCCACAGCCAAACTCCTTAGCAGGGTATACAATATAGCCCCTTCACAATCTGACTGTAGTGTCTTCCATCCTCATTTATCACAGCCCCTAACATAGTTCAGCAAATGAAAATATGTTGAGAGTCCATTACATGCCAGGCTCTGTGCAATGCTCTGTAGGTAGAAAGATGAGTAGGATGTTTCCTCTGCCTCAGGGAGCTTCCCCCACCCCACTGCCATTGGGTTGATTCTGACTCCTAGCGACCCAATAAAGATAGAGTAGAACTGCCCTATAGGGTTTCCAAGGAGTACCTGGTGGATTCGAACTGCTGATCTTTTGATTGGCAGCCATAGCTCTTAACCACTGTGCCACCAGGGTTTCCTCAGGGAGCTTATAGCCTACTAAAAACCAAAAAACCCAAATCCATTGCTGTCGAATCAATTCTGACTCATAGCTACACTACAGGACAGAGTTGAACTGTCCCATAGGTTTCCAAGGCTGTAAATCTTTACAGAAGCAGACTGCCACATCTTTCTTCCAAGGAGGGACTGGTGGGTTCAAACCGCCAACCTTTCGGTTAGCAGCCGAGCACTTAACTACTGTGCCACCAGGGCTCCTTTACAGCCTACTGGGGGGACCAATAAGTAACCAGACTACTATTACAATGCCATGTGGTACATGCTCAGCTACATCAAACTACGTGCCATTTTCAGTCAAGTCAGTCTCCTCACATCTCCTCTCTTCTCTCCACTTTCTCTCCTAATTCCCCTGCCTAAAACACCCTTCCCTCCCTCCTCTTCTGCTGCCTTGTGAACTTGCTATCACTCTTTTAACATTGGTGTCCTTTCCCATTCTCCTGCAGCATTAGTATGCTTCTATTATAGCACTAGTTGATGGTATTACAAAGAAAGGCCTGGCGATCTACTTCTGAAAATCAACAAACAAAAACCTTATGGATCACAATGGTCTAAATGCATTGTGCATGGGGTCACCATGAGTTGGGGGCCAACTCGAGGGCAGCTAACAAAAACAACAATAGATGATATCACCATTATTTGTTCACGTGTATCTATCTCTCAGACTTGATTTTCAGATTTCCCAGGGCCAAGACAGTGTCTCCTTTCTGTGCCTCTCTGCCTCCACATACAATCTAAGTGCTCGGTAGATATTGGTTGGATGAATGAAGGAATGAATGACCAACTCTGTCACTCTGCGATATAATCCAGAGGTTAAGAGCTGATCTACACTAAAGATTCTTTTGGTGTACTCTCTCCTTTTATCACTTCCAAAGCCACTCCTCTTTTCCACTCTTACATCCTTTCCAAAGATGATTCTGTTATCTTCTCTTCTCTAGTTTGCCCCCTCCCACCCCCGATTTCTTTAGACTTCCCACACACACAGTTACCTGTTTTCTTTTTCCTCCGGAGAGTTGATGGGCAGCTCCTGTGACAGGAAAAACAGATCACCCATGTGCAAGAGCATCACTCCTTCATTATTTGCTCTGTGATCTCTTTAAAATTCTGGGATGACTCTCCCCAAACTCCCTCTAACAAAGACTCATCCTGAGCCAGGTTCAGCCCCAAAGTGTTTGTCACACCTCTCCCAAATGGATGGTTCTGGAAGGTGGAGTGGCGCAACTGACATAACCAAACCCAAAATACAGCTTCAGGCAACCAGGCACTATACGCCAGGGATGTAGCTGGGCTGAGGACTATTCTGGGATTGTCTAGCAGGCCAGTCTCAGCAGAGGGTGAGGGAAACCTGCCAAATAATGGGATATTGCTGGATTCAGAGACCCTCTTGTTTCTTCTTCAGTGCTTTTTTCTGGTGGTCTCTGCCAGCCCTGGACTTCCATGCTAGGAGTCATTAGAAGCTGCTGCAACCAGGGCTAACTAATTAGGGTCCCCTCAAAGCCCTTTTTTAACGGATGACCTCCCTCTCTGCGTCCTTGTCCTTGTTTTTAATTCACAGATAAAGTGAGAGATGTTTAACCTTTAGCGTCCTTTCGAGAACTCTGTCCACAGCACAGAACTGAATTTGGTGAGTGACTCAGCTGCCCCACCCATGCTGCAAGACAGACCTCTTAGACTCATTTCTAAGCCTCTGGGGTCCCCATGGAGCCTGTGGAGCCTGTGTGTCTACATGATTGTCAAGTGTTTGATGCCCAGAGAAACAACATTGCTCTGAGGAAATTCGCTGAATAGGTTGGGACTTATTCCAGATGCTTTTTCTTGCTAGTACATTTCTAACTCTCACCAGAGCCAACCCTAGTTTTCTAACTTCTAGTCTCCCCAGCGAAGTTTGTTTTTGCTAATTAAAAAGAAAGAAGGAGGGAAACTTTTGAATCACGTTGACCTTACTACTGTAGAAAAAAATAAGGATTTTTCCACGTACATTTGACAGAGGTTTGTGTTTTTGTTCTGTTTTTTTTTTTTTTGTGACAAAACATTCGACATTTCAACAGTCTTCACATGTATAGTTCAGTGACATTAATTATGTTCATCATGTCATTCAACCATCACCCTTATCCATTCCCAAATTATACCGTAACTGTGAACAGAAGCTCAGTGTCACCTAAGTATTGAGTCCTCCTTTCCCACCCCTCTCGCCACCCCCCTCCCCGTAACCATTAGTAAACTTTTGTCTCTATACACTTGGCTATTCTAGATATGAGTGGGATCGCACAATATTTGTCCTTTTGAGACTGACTTATTTCACTGAGCATAATGATTTGTTTGTAATTCAGCTTGCTAAGTTGAGAGTAGAGCCTCTATCCAGACTTTACCGGCGGTTCGGAAGCTTTGGAACTACTTCTGTGTCTTTCTGTTTCCTCTCCTGCTACTTCAACTCTTGCTTTCTGTTACCGCTGCCCAGTCACAGCCTTTTCCTAGTCTCTGATTCCTTGTCCCTTGTTGCTACTGTCTTCCTACTTATTTCTAATTAAGTGGATAAAAAGAATATTCGTACATATTGTGAAGAATGTAACCAACGTCACTGAACAATTTGTGTAGAAATTGTTGAATGGGAACCTAAACTGCTGTGTAAATCTTCATTGAAATAAAATATTAAAAAAAAAAAGAGAGACAGAATATTAATTCTGAAATACATAGACTTAATTTACCCAGTTTTGGTGAACAGAGCCTGTTTCCAAGTTGGATATTGCACAGTGCTTGAACACAACCCAAGCCAAGTATTCAGTTAGATTCAGAGATGATGGAATTTTATTTTTAGTTCAGAATTAAGAAATGGGCACTCTTCTACACTGGTAGTAGGAATAAAAATTATAGCAATCTTTCTAGAATGCAATTAGCGATAAGTATAAAAACCCTTAAAAATAAATGTGTGTACCCTATGATGTAGCAATTCCATATCCTAAGAAATAACAAGGCGTGAAAATCTGGATGCTCATTGTAGCACTATTTATAAACACAAAAACTGGAAGTATCCCAAATGCCCAACACTTGGAAATTGACTAAATAAATAGCATATCCAATCAGTGGAACACTATGCAGCCATTTAAAGATGTTGGAAGAACGTCTGTCATCATGGAAAAATTTCTTATTAAGTTAAAAAAAAAAAAAAAAGATGTAAGATGTGTTTTGGAATAAAAACTGTGCACACAGGCATTCAAAAAGGATTAAATGGAAATACGTACACTACACTGTTCCTGATTGTCACCTCTGAGTGCTTATATTTATAGTTTGCTTATTTTCTACTTTTTGGTATTTTCCAAATTTTCCTCAGTGAATGTGTATTACTACTATTGTAATCAGAAAAAAAAAATCAAAATATTTTTATAATGAAAAACTCTGACAGTGTCATAGTAGCTTTAAGTGTCTAGAGGTTTATTGAGATAATGAGAAATAGAAGAGAGCAATTTTTATACAATCCTATTAATATTTTATGTGGAAAAAATGGATTTTGGTTAGAGTCTAGTGTAGTGGTTTTAGTATGGGCTCTAGAGTCTGAATGTTTGTCTGCTAGCTGTGTGACCTTCAGCAAGTGTTTAACGACTCTAAATCTCTGTTATCTTATTAATAAAATGAAGAAATAATAGAACCTAAATCTCATGGGATTATGTTAAGGATTACATAAAATAATACATGTAAGTACCTGGCATATAATGAGCATCAGTAAAGTTGACTAGTATAACTACCACAACTATTACAACTCAGAGGAAGAACCAATAATGAAGCATGTGAAGACTTGGAAAGAAGGGGAGTGAAAGAAACTGTTATATCTCTTTCTCTTGAAGTCTTTATAGGTCTCTACATGTTCTATATCTAGAGGACATCTCATAGTTTAAAGGGTGCTTTAAGAGCTTTTTTTTTCTCAATCCTGACAACATTCTGGGAAACACATATTACTGTTCCATTTTATATGGGCTAACTAAGGCCCTAGGACTTTGGTGCCTAACTAAAAGGCAGGGACCAATTTTCCTTTTTATTACTATGTCTTCTGGATCTAACACTGTGCCTGGTACATAATAGGTATTCAATAAATATTTGTTTAATAAATGAATGGATAAATGAATGAGTAGTAGTAACAGGACATAAATCCAATGTACTGACTCCAAATCTTATGTGCTTTCCAGTGTACCTCACCTGTATCTAAATATAATGATGCTTTATTTATAAATAAAACATCCTCAAGATCTGACCCAGGCATGGAGTGGTATAGCTCGGAAGGCAGTGGACAGGATAGAACCAGGCCCAAGGGTCTATAGTGATGACAACTCTGGGAAAGAACAAACACTACCACAAATAATTTATTATGAGGTTTTCACGTACACTGTATTATTTGTTCTTCAAAACAAATTTGTGATGTAAACAAGGTGGGTTGTATTAGCTATATTTTACTGATGAGGAACAGAGAAGTTAAGGGACTTGCCTAAGGTCACCAAGCAATTAAATGTGAACGATACATTCAGATATTCTTTGGAAAATCTCGTTCTTATTCCTACTTTTCCCTTTTAAATAAACATTTCTCCAAAATGATTTGCTTGCTCTGGAAGGCAATATTATGTATGGTTGAAAGTTTGGGCTCTTAAGTAAGACAAGCTTGGGTTGGAATCTTGGTTCACTTATTTACTAGTCATGTGACCTTGAGCAAGTTACTTAACTTCTCTGAGCCTCAGCTTCCTCAACTGTAAAATAGGAGGAAGGGGAAAACCACTTCCTTACAGAGTTGTGAAAATTAAATGAGGTTGTAAAGTGCCTGGTACAGAGTAAGTTTTCCAATGCTATGGCTACTATCATCTCTGGGGAAAGAGAAGAGGAAGAGGGGAGGAAGAGGAGGACAAAGAGAACCAATGTTTTATTCACCATTCCAGCCCTGCTCTGGCCTTTCTACAGACAGCTGGCTTGGCTGTGTTTTCTGAGATCTCCTGAAAGGAGGAATCACAGAAAGGGGTGTTGCTCTGGTGCTGGAATCAGGAGGTGCCAGGCAGAGGGAGGTGGCAGTGGGAGGTTGGCAGAGAATTATCTCCAGGCTCTCCCTTACTCATGCATGTAACGAAGTAGAAGGTATTCTCAGCTTAGGACCTCCAAGTCCAACAACACGAGACTTTTACCCTCCTCCACCCTTTTCCCCAACTCACCAGTTTCTCCCACAGCAGAGCCGATTTCCCATGGTGCTCGGTCTCCGAGGGAGCCCAGCTGTTTTTCTACATAAAGAGGCTTATGCATTTCCTGGTTTCTGTTTAGCTTTCATTGGTAGCTCCCGGGGAGTTTTTGTCAGTGTCAGATTTCAACCTAGCAGGTTGAACTTTGGAAGCCACCTGCTGGAAGGATTCCCAGATGACTTAGTTCCCAGCCAAGGGCAGATCAGCACGCACCAGGATCCAGGTGAGAGCTATCTCACCTTTGGGATTTGGAGCTTCTTTGATGAAGCCATGAACTTTGAAGCTTCAAGCTACAATAAAAAGTAACCTGAGATAGAAAAGGGCTCTGGGTTTCCTTCGGAAGTGCTTTTCTACTACATCACATTGTCCCTGAAATAGATCTTCTATTAACGGAGTAAAAGATTTCAACTTAACTTCCTCAGCACTACTCAGGTTTAAATGAGTTTCACTTTTCAGGGAACTACTGGTGCAGTTGCTTATTATCCCTGTCTAGAATCTGGGTTTGAATACCGGAGTCTCTAGGAAACTTGAATTTAGGGAAATGGATTTCTTTTTAGATTCTCCCTGACTATCGGCAGGTCCTAGGTTTCTAGGACTATAAAATGGAGAACTGAACTCATTATCTATCTCCTTTTTGGTCTAAAAGCATATGATTCTATGATTGTACTGGCCTCAGCACTTCTTAACCACTCCCCCATCCCTGGTATAGAACCACAGAACCTCCACTTACCCCTTAACCCAGCTTCTTCCAACAACCCAAAGTTAGACTCGTTTCACACTCACCAGCAGCTAGGATGCAGTGGAGCAAATTCTTCTGTAGAAGATACGGGCTCTAGGAGAATTTATGAAATACGTAAAGTTTGTCTTCAGGGCTCTCACTCCCATCTTTAGTCTCTTCCCCAGATGCCTGGTTATTTGTGTGCCCCTTATAGATATTCAGGAGGAGCCCTGGTGGCGCAGTGGTTAAGCTCTTGGCTGCTAACTGAAAGGTTGCAGTTCGAAGCCACACCACAGGAGAAAGATGTGGCAGTCTTCAGTAAAGATTTATAGCCTTAGAAACCAAATGAGGCAGTTCTACTCTGTCCTATAGGTTTGCATGAATCGGAATCAACTCGTAGTCAACTGGTTTCTGGATATTCAGGAACCACCACCCAGCCTGCACTTCACAGAGACTACCCTGAACTCTTAACTCCTGCCCATCTTCTTATGAAAAACAGGGATAATAAGAGTGACAACCTTATAGGATTATGGTGAAAATTAAATAAAACAATGTATATGAAGCTCTAGTCCACTGCCTGGCACACAGAAAGCTCTCAGCAAGTCTTAGCTATTATAAATATTGGGGGTGGTTCAGGGGTAGAAATCTCACCAGTACATGTGGGAGACCTGGGTTCGATTTCTGGCCAATGCACCTTATGCACAGCCACCACCCGTCTGTCAGAGGAGGCCTGCATGTTGCTATGATGCTGAACAGATTTCAGGGCAGCTTCCAGATGAAGACAGATTAAGAAGAAAGGCCTGGCGATCAGCTTCCAAAAATGAGCCAGTGAAAACCCTATGGATCACAACAGTCCGATCTGCCACGAATGTATGTGGATGGCGCAGGTCCAGGTAGTGTTTCATTTCATCGTGTATGGGGTTCCTATGAGCTGGGGCTGGCTTGATGGCAGCTAACAACAACAATAGCATTGTTATTACTTGTTATTCTCAGCTAACTGTCAGATGATAAAGTATTCTATTTTTTAAAATCTTGCGCCCAGATCATGGTGCTAGCCTATTATGGCCATGCTTCTCCCTGTAACCCATTTTGTAGTCTGCCATTACCTCTATTCTTTTAGTCCTGTTACACTCCCCACCCCCCTTCCCCAAAAGCCATTACTGATTTCCGGTTATCTACAGAGTAAAGTTCAAACTTCTTAGCCTAGTTTTCAAAACTATAAACGATCTGATCCCTTTCCTGCTGTATCCTCTGTAATTTAAAGGAAAGCCCCTAAGATATTTTAGGTAACCAAAAACTCCAAAGGAACCAATACTGTGGGGTGGTAGCCAGGCAATCTATATACTTTAAGCAGCATTAATAGAAGTCTAAAGTGTTAAACAAGGGGATTTTTTATTCCACTGAAGTCTATACCATTCCATGACTGGAATAAAAATTTTAGTTCTAGAAGCTGAATTTCAAGTTACATCATGAAAAAGCAATGTGCTCAAGACAAAGTTGTCTGTATAGTAAGCGGTATGGAAGTTGCTATATAATATAGTTCAAAGAACTAGTTATGTTTAGCTGGGAAAACGAAAGCCTTAGGAGGCCAGGATGGTTATTTTTAAATATCTGAAGGATTTTCAAGTGAAAGAAGAATTTCATTTATTTTCTGGACATAACCAGAACCAATGGGCAGAAGTTACTGAAATGAGGATTTTGGTTCAATAGAAGAACTTGTAACAGATATGTCCAAAACAATGGAGTGTGTTACTGTATGAATTTCTAAGTTCTCTGTCATTCAAAATGTCCCAGCAACAGTTAGGTCATAATGTGAGAAGAATATGGTGGTAAATTGGACTAAATCAGAGGTTTTCATATTTTTTCTAGCTAAGGAAGCCTTTCTATAAAGCTTATGTAAAAACCCCAATTAAAAAAACAGATCAAAGCTGTTCTGGTTGAAGTCTGAGTAGGATTCTTTTTTACAAATTCTTTTTCTTCTTGACTAGACAGTAAGATTCCTGAGAATAGACAGTAACCTATGTATTTTTTATATATTTACAATGTATAACCCCCAGAATGTATTTACCTGGGGCTTGATAAATATTTGTGGAATGAATGAATGAAAAACCAAATATACAAACAGTTATTTTTCTGAGGCATGCTTACATTTTTAATAGAAGGCAACCTTTAACCAAAAATTGAATTCCTCAAGTGAGGGCTCTTATCCTGATGGTCCATGAATCACTAAGAGGGGTGCGAATGCCAAATTTGGGGGCATCTGCATTTTTCTGGGAAGAGGGTTTATGGCTTTTGTCAGGTTTTCAAAGGGGTCTGTAACCCAAAACGGTTAACCACCACGATTTTAAAGGAAAAATTTCAGGTATCTACCATAGTTCGGTAAAAGGTATGCTTGGGGGCAGGGAGGTCTTCTGGACACTCCCCAAATCATACACATGCATGCTCTCTTGACTGCAGAGCATAATTGAGGGGTCATGCCCCTAGGCTTCCCTGAATACACCATACCCCTAGTCTTAGGACTCTACTTAGTACTATACTTCCAAGGCAAGATTCCCTGGCAGTCACCACCACTGTATTTTTTTGTCTTTTTACACTAATAGCCCTAGATCCCCCGCATTTGGTCTTGGATTGACTGGGTGAGGTGATGTGATAATTCCTCTCTTTGGGATGTTCCAAGATGAGAGACAAATGCTTTCCTTCTTGGGCCTCCTCTGTGCAGAGGGTGAGGGCTCTTTGTGGTTCGGTGATAATGGTAGGGGTTTCTGTGTTTTTGAGCCTGTCTGTGCATACTCAGTCTCTCGGGATCAGAGACTATTTCCAGTGAACAGACCTGAGCATGGAAAACAAAGTATTTTGTTTTGAGCAACTCTCTCCAGCCAGTTTTCCCAACCCCTACCCAAAAAGGGCCAGACAGTCTGGAGACCCTTGTTTTTGTGCCTCTAATCACCAGCTCAGATAGTGTCCTCTGGACTGTTTGGATGGTATATCCCTTTTCCCTCCCAGGATCACTCTCTCTTTTGTTGCATTGTGAGAAAATTATGGCTAGGAATTTGATCTGGAGCCAATGCCAGCTTCCGGGTGTGATCTCAGCATCCACGTGTGACAATGGCACATCTAACTGAGGTGCTTTATGTCTAGCCAGCTATGACCTCCTCCCTCCCTGTTCATCCCTTCCTTCAGGCCACAGAATAGGGAGCAGCACAAACAAGGCCCTGAGATTTGGGTTTATTCAGCTCTACCCAGAACTAAGCCAAAGGCTATGACATGTCCCAAGGGACCAAACAATATATTGTGAACCATGCATTTTTCCCTTCCCCCAAGGATGCTGCTACCTCTGGGGTTGTTGGCAGCTGCTAGCATCACACCTTGGGAAGTAGAAAGGGATTTGCTGGTTGCTGGTTCTGTGGCAATCAGGGCTCAACTACGGTTGCCTCCTCCTCTTCATCTGGATCAGGAGGCGCCGGCAGCAGGGAGATGTAGACCTCATTGACCTCTGTATCCAAATGTCGCCCACCCCGAGGTGCCTCCAGGTTAAGGATGCCATCATGGGAGAGAGCAGCGCGGACCCGCCAGGGGTCGACATCAGCAGGCAGGACATAGGTGCGGCAGAACTCTCGGGATACGAAGCCGTGGCGGTCCAGGCGCTGGGGGTGCCGAGCAGACACCTCCAGCAAGTTGTCAACAGTCCTCACGGTCACCTCATCTGGGGTAAAGTGGCTTACATCCAGAAATGCCTGGAACTTGCCCTCACTGAGCCTAAGCTCTGAGGCCCCTGCCCTGCTGCCCTCCCCAGCTTGGGCGGCCCGTGGCCGGACATAGTAGCCATGGTAGAGGGTAGGGGTCAGGATCTCTTCTGGCAGGAGGCCTGAGGGGCAGAGAGAGAGAGAGAGAGAAGGGAAGAAGCAGGATGAGGAAAGATGAGGTGGGAACAGGGTGGTTTGAGAGTTGATCCGAAGATGAGGAGGGACTGGGACCGCAGGAGGGACAGGAGAAGTAGGGAGGGGAAGAGAGAGGGACATAGTGACTAGGAAGAGGAGGAGGCAGCTGGGGAGGTGTGACTGAGAAAGGAAATGAGATGGGGTGAGGGAGGGTAAACCAAACTGGGGCAGGGTGGATAGAAGGGGAACAAGATGGCACGTCAAGGGGGCAAGGGGCACGGATCTGAGTATTGTGGCACCTTGTCTGTCCTGAGGGCAGCAAGAAGGAGAAAGAGCCCTGCTTACTTGCGGGGTGGGGGAAGGCAGTCTGGGGTGGGAAATGGCTCGCCCCAGGAGTTCAGTTAAGCCTGAAGTGGGGTGGAGGCCAGTAATGTTGGGAGGTCAGCCCAGAATTTCAGGAGGTGGGGGTGGGAGGCAAGGGGGGTGGTGTCTGTGCCATACCTTCTCCGAAGCGCTGCTCACCCAGGCGGCTCGGGTTGGCAAATTCGTACTCGGCGGTGGCGGGGTGGGCATGCGGCACCGAGCGGCCCGACATGGCTGCAGACACGTTGGCGGCCCTGGTCAGAGGTGCAGCCCTAACAGGCGCAGCGCGACCCCTCCAGTTGCCCGAATAGCTGCTCCGGAGGAGGTGGGGGCGGGATCTACACCACCCAAAATAGTGCCGAGCCTCTGGGGGGAGGGCAGGAGCGGGGGCCCTGAGTGAGAGCGACGAGTGTGAGACCAGCGCCGCCCGGACCCCCGACCCCTCCCCCTGCACACCCTTCAGCTGTCGCACGGTGCCTGAGAGGACAGCTGGGGGTCCTGGCTCGGGAAAGCGCTGGGGGAAGGGAGGCTGGCGCCAGAGCTAAGGAGAGGCATGGCTGAGACCCTCACGAACAGTTTGCACATTTTCCACACCACCCTTTCTCCTCCTCTGTCGGAGGCACGGTGCACCGTACTTCATAAAGCACTCCTGGATGTAATGTTTTGCTGAGCCTTGTAGAGTGAAAGATGAAAGAAACGGTTCTACCGTTTCTGTGGGGTCAATTTTGGGGGGGGCGGTCTACCTGCCCGGATTAGTCAGGGTCCTCTCCCGAACGCAGAGCAACCCACCCGGACGCCTGGCACTGACATGATCACCGCTCCAGGGACCCACAGAGTTAATGTCCCTGGGCCCCAGCCTAGTAAGATTCCAGTCCCTGCCCAGGCCCAAGATAGTTGCTGGCCCGATTTCCCTGGCATGCAAGACCAGAGAGGAGGGGGAGGGGCACACCACCCGCCTGCCTGGGATTCCTGACTCTGTCCCAGCCCCCAGAACAGAAGAGGGGGGCGGGGTGCTGCCATGGGGCATAGATGAGAAAGCCAGTGAAATAAGACCAGGACAAGTCACTGGCCAGCTCAGACATGTTTGTGTTTCTCTTTTCTTAGCTCAGTGAGTATTGGGTATGTGTCACACTGCCAAATCCCCGATCACAAGTCTCCATGAACGGGTGGTGAGCCGGGATAATAAAACCCCTGACATCACCATTCCAGAAGCTTCACAAGACTGCATATATAAGGGACTGGCTGTAGCTGCGGCTGAAGGAGCTGACCAGCCCGCTGACCCACCACACTCACCTAGCCATCATGGACATCGCCATCCACCATCCCTGGATCCGCCGCCCTTTCTTTCCTTTCCACTCCCCCAGCCGCCTCTTTGACCAGTTCTTCGGAGAGCACCTGTTGGAGTCTGATCTCTTCCCAAGTTCTACCTCCCTGAGCCCCTTCTACTTTCGACTGCCCTCTTTTCTTCGTGCACCCAGCTGGATTGACACTGGGCTCTCAGAGGTGAGTCTCCTCTCTTTGCAAGGACAGGACAGTTCTTCCTGGAACTTTCTGGAAACTTCTTCCTTTTCCTTTCCCTCTCTGACTAAACCTGATTATGTTCCAGTCTCTTAAGTGTTTCAGATACATGTGTGTCCAGACATGAAGAAAGATAAGGTCCCTAGTGCCTCCCTCCATCAGTCACCTGTTTCTATTGGATACTTCTCTGTATCCTGTTTATTACATTTCTCCATGCACTGTGAAGATCATCCTCTAACTTCCAGGCAGGATGCCCCTTCTCTAGTTTGGTTCATAAAGGTCTGCAGAAGAAAAGCTGCCTCCAGACTCCTTTGCTTACCTCTTATAATACATCATACTCCTGACAGATTTTATCATCTCAAGTTTCAGAGCCAGGAGACAGTCCTATCTCACCTTGAGCTTTCATCCCTATTGGGTGGAGCTGGAGACAACAACCATTATTTTCTTCCTTTTTATTCCCTCTTCTGTGATTTTCTACATTTCTCATGGTTGAAACTGGGCACTGCCTGGATTTAAGCCTTATGAGGAAGGAATGTAGGTCTGGTCTTGGGACCCCCACACTTGTCCTAAGAGAGTGGGAGAATGGGGTGAACAGATAAGGTTCGCAGAAGCTGTCACAGATAACACTCTGGTTTAAAAATATTCAAGTATGAGTAAACAGTAGCTCAGTGGGCAAGGGCTTTGGAAGGACAAACAGGACCAGCAGAACATTCTAGATTGAGTGGGTGGGAAACTTGGCAGAGACTTGAGCAAGAAGAAAGGGCCTTTGTCTTACAAATGACAAGAGTAGGCATTGGGGTTGAGAGGCAGCAGAAGCTATGCCCAGACCATCTTTGTGATTTGTTAAGCCTCCCTGGGTGGCTTTTCTTCCTATCCCTGTAAATAGTTTGGGCCTGATAACCAAGAGCTATGTTTTGGGTACCACTGTGGTGGCTCCCCTAAACTACAGAGCCATGCGTATTCAAAAAGAGATTTTTAGCTAAAGAGGAAGATAAACTACCCGGACAGAAAACAACTCTACAGAATGATGAGACTGCACCAATGCAATGAACATTCCTGGCATCTTTCCTTCTATTCCTCCTCCCTGTGTCCCACTCTGCTATTTCTAGATGCGCCTGGAGAAGGACAGGTTCTCTGTCAATCTGGATGTGAAGCATTTCTCCCCAGAGGATCTCAAGGTCAAGGTGCTGGGAGATGTGATTGAGGTGCACGGCAAACATGAAGAGCGCCAGGTATGTAGCTTGTTTTTAGTTCCACCCATTCACTCAGTGCCTGCTATATGCCAGGCACTGCCATCAGTCTCCAAGGCTGACAACATCCCAGTCCCAAGCCATAGGGTCTAGATCAGGGTCACAAATCAGTAACTAGGAGACTAAATTAGTGATAAACTTGTTTTATTTTGTTTTTTTTGTTTTTTTTTTTGGCCAAAGAAGTAGCCTTTGTTGCTTGTTTTCATATGATTCCCTTAGAAGGGCTAGATGGAATGTTCACTCTCCATTGAACCCAGTGGTTCTCAGCCTTAGCCAGTTAGAATCATCAGGGGAGATAAAAAAAAAAAAAAAAAAATCCCAATGCTCACGTGCACTCCAGTGTAATTAAATCAAAATGTTTAGAGGTGGGGTCCAGGCATAAGTATTTTTTTAAAGCTCTCTAGGTAATTCTAATGTTGAGTCAAGGCTGAGAACCACTGATTTAGGCATACTGCTTGTCAGACACCTGGTTGCTTTACATAATTACATTGACTACATGCACCCTGAAAGCATTTGAGTTTGTGACTACTCTTTTAGATGTTCAGGAATCTACTTCTCCTTAAACACGACATAATGCTGAACTACTTCATTTGCCTACTTTTCAGAAGTGTACTCAGCTCCTAATACCCTAGACCCCACTGGTAGTCAGTTCATTGGGAGTCTACCTGAATAAATGCTGAGATTTAGCAGGTATAAGGATTAGGGCCAAGTACTCTTTGGGGGATTCTGAAGAATGGAACAGCATCTCATTACTCTCTGGGAGAATTTTTAAATGAGTATGCTTCTCACCAATTAGTGATAACTCAGAACCGAGTGCATCAAACAGAACAGTTTGACATCCTCAGGTGGATTCAGTTTTGCTCACTCGATTTAAGTTTGGGTCATAGTTTCCCTAGATGAAGTCGCTGTTTTTTAAGCAGCAGTCTTATCGGTCTGGAACATTCCTGGAGTAAGGACAATTTCTGAGCTTCTGCAGGGACTGGCCAGCTGAGATGAGATTCACATCCTATAGGCCCAGCAAACATTGATCTAAATCTTTAGGAAATACCCCTAAACATATCCATGCCCCAGGGTTTGGGGAACTATGAAGTTTTGGGATGTTTCAGACTTCTCAGACAATTACTGGTAGCAGTAACCACCTAGGCAACTTTATTTTAGCCCCAAATTGAAATGAACAGCTGTTTAGCTTTTTCTCATCATGTTGCCATTGCATTTGGTTCCACCTAAGGGAGTGGGGAATGTCTCGGGTTTTGGCAAGTGGTATTATTTCCTGCGCTTATCTCTCTCTCTCTCTGCTTCTTTCCTCATTCCCTTGGATTAGGATGAACATGGTTTCATCTCCCGGGAGTTCCACAGGAAATACCGGATCCCAGCTGATGTGGACCCTCTTGCCATTACTTCATCCCTGTCATCTGATGGGGTCCTTACTGTGAATGGACCAAGGAAACAGGCCTCCGGCCCTGAGCGCACCATTCCCATCACCCGGGAAGAGAAGCCTGCTGTCACTGCAGCTCCCAAGAAATAGATGCCCTTTCTCTAATTACATTTTTTAAAACAAGAAAGCTTCCCCACCACTGAATGAAAACCTTGTGACTAGTATTGAAACTTATTAATGCTAAGGGCAGGCCCAAGTTATTAAGCTAATAAAAGATGATTCAGCAACAGATAACTGTCTCGTGTTTGAATATTCGGCATGTTTTAAAACAAATGTACATGTACAAATACCAACAGATCTACTTTTAATCATCATATCATGATTTTGGGGGCTCCTGGGATTTCAGAGTCACAATGACTGGCTCCAATACTTACTAATGGTATAAATTTAAGCAAGTCGCTTAACCTTTCTGATTTTCAGGTTGTCTATTTATAACATGGGGCACTGATTTGTACAGAGTTGTCCTAAGGGGAAGGAGCCCTGGTGGTGCAGTGGTTAAGCACACAGCTGCTAATTGAAAGGCTGGCAGTTTGAATCCACCAGCTGCTCCATGGGAGAAAGATGTGACAGTCGGCTTCCTCAGTACAGATTATAGCCTTGGAAACTCTATAGGGTCACTATGAGTCAGAATTGACTCAGTGGTAATGGGTTTGGGTATTTTTTGGTTCTAAGGGGTAAATTAAGAAGAAGAAGTAAGTAAAGCCCCTGCAAGAGTTCTAAGAATGTCAGTTTCTCTTTCTCCTGCCTCTTTGATTTTAGCCCTCAGTTCCAACAACTGGAGTAAACTCTGGAAAACAGCATATAAAAACTCTTCATACATGGCTAAAATTAATTATGTCACTGGGGAGTAGATATGCCTGCAGTGTTGTTTGACATTTTCCTACTGGTAAGCATTGCCTTCAGCTGATTCACAAGGGCAATAAATAGGACTTGGGTGAGTATCACTAAATATGCCTCTCAGGTGTGGTCTCTAAATTATCCAGCAAACACCTATTGAACTAATACTGGGAAACATCCAGTGTGATGACTCACAAAGAAAAAGTTTAAGTTTTAGAATTAATTAAGAGCTGATCAATAAGTGATTCTATTATTTAGCTTAAACAAAGATACTATCCTACAAAAATACCTCCATTTCACTTTTGTGGGTCTAGACAAAACTTCTGACCCAATTAATGAAAAATAGCCCTGCTAGAGGCAGTTCTGGGGGCTCTGGTAGCAAAGCAGTTACGAGCTCAGGCTGCTAACCAAATGTATGCAGTTCGAATCCACCAACCACTCCTTGGAAACTCTGTGGGGCAGTTCTACTCTGTCCTATAAGGTCGCTATGAGGTTACTCTTATTCTTCCTCTAGCAGCTTCAGAATGGTTTATTTCTCAAGAGTTGCTACCTGACCACGAGGTAAAGTGCAATTCTTGCCCTCACAAAGGCTACAGCTTTTAAATATTCTATACAAAATAGTTGTCTAAATTTTTCATGATGCAAGGGCATGGAACTAGGACAATATAAACTGTAAATCTATACAGGTTCAAAATGCTGTTAACAACAATTTCCTGATAGTCTGAAATGCTGTGATCTAGCCAGAAGTTAGATTCCTCTAAACTTAGAATTTTTGTG